CCTAACATTAAATATATGCCAAATGTAGAGAAATTTTCAAAAATACAATAAAAAAAAGTTTTATCCAGTACGCAATATTCGTACTGAAAAGAAATTAAAGAAAATAACTGCCAGAATGACTGATATTCAAAATGTTGTTTAAAAATTTATATATATTAAACATTCCAATTAAAAAAAAGTTAAAATGATGTAAGTAATTCCGATCATAGAATGTTTATAAGTCCCAATTAGATAATTTCTTAATTCATGTTTCCCCACTTTTTCAAATTTAAATAAAAACTCACTGTAAAAATTACTATAACTACATTTATTTTATACAAATAACGAAACATCAATTTTTAAATTCTTTTCCTCTTATTAGAGAACATGGGTTAAATGAAAACTTTAAACGCTATTTTGTGCGAAAGAAAACTGTTCACAATAAAATAGTTCAAAACCTTAATTGTTTGTGTAGATGATTTTATTCGTTAAGCCTTATAACTATGTGGATATATTTAACGCTTCGCAACTGATCGGCCAACAGTTCGCGTAATGGTGGAGACGCCTTCCAAGAACTGCGTACGGAACAGCACATTGGCGTGATTGAAGAGGCCATCTTTAAGGGAGACGATGAGAAACTGTGAGTCTCTGAAGTGCTGCTTCAGCATGCTGCCAATATTTTGAGTGTGAGACATATCCAGCGCAGCGTCCACCTCGTCGAGGATATAGAGCGGAGCCGGGGAGAACTTCAGCATGGCCAGCACTAGGGATAGAGCCACCAGTGACTTTTGACCGCCAGACAACTCTCCCAGACTTTCCTTAAAGACACCATTGAAGCCGACCTTTATCTCGAGGCCACTAAGTATGCCGTTTGTCTTGACAGGATTGAGTAGAGCTTGGGCGCCTGGCAGCAGTGTGCTGAATATGCTGCTAAAGTTTTCAGTTACCGCCTCCCAGGCACGTTTTACCTGGTCCTGCTCCTCCTCATCCATTTTAACAATAATCTTCTTGATTTTCTCTTTGTCCAATGCAACAATTTGACGTCGGCGCACCGTCTCATTATAGTTCTCCTCCTCGCGTTCCAGTGTCTGCATTGCATTCATATTGAGCGTACGTTCCATTTTCTCCTTCTTTTCCTGCATTTTCACCAGCTTGTTGCCGGCCTCAACGGGATCCTCTTTGCTGTAGTCATAGCGCGTGTTCTTCATGCCAAAGCAGTTTTTCTCCTCTGGTATCCAGGGATACTTAATCTCCAGGGCATCCATGCGTTTCTTAGCATCTTTTGCCTCTCCACTTATTTTGTTCTTTTCGTTTTCCTTCTTCTTCACCTCCAGTTCAAGCTCTTGATTGTGCTTTAAAAGTTTATCCTTTTTGCCCAAAAGCGTACGCATTTCCTTATTCTGTGTGTTTAGATTTTCCTTTTGCCTTTTGATTTCTCTCTCTAGCTCTGCGACATCCGTGGCCGCAGTCGAGCTATTTTTCTGCAGAGCATCGAGCTCAGCCTTGTACCTTTCAAGATTGTCCACCATCTCTTGGTGCTGTTGCTTGGCGGTGTCAATGCTTTTCTGCAGCTCTGTGATTTCCAGCTGCAGCGTCTCAAACTCCTGCTCACGCTTTTTCCAGTTAGCACGTGACTTCTCGGCTCTCTGCTTGGCTACCTTCATTTCGTTGCTGACCGCCTTAAGCTCGCGCTCTCGATAACCCTTCGCATCGGATAACTTTGCCTCAACATCCTTTACTTTTGCTTGTGAGCTCTTTTGTTTTTCACGAGCCTCTGTGTTTTGCTGCTCTAAGCTTTGCACCTTCTCCTTCATTTCTTCGATTTCCTCCTGGTTCTGTTGGAATGTTGTATGCGCCAAACGGCTCTTGCACATGGACAGCTCATGCTGGCGCAGGTCAAGTGCCTCATTTAGCTTATTGTGGCTGTGCGCTACATTCTCAATAGCACTATAATTGGGAGAAACAAAAGACGATTTAATAATCTTCGATTATTTTTCTATGAACACCCAATACTAACGTCAATTCTTGCTCCACCTGGGTTAGCTCATTCATCTTTTGTTTTACTTCCTTCTCCAAACTCCTAATGCTGTTCAGTTCTTCAAGTATATTCGCGCCTTTGGGTGCTGAGCCACCAGACAAGGTACCATTTGAATCTACCACATCGCCTTCTAGCGTTACACACCGGCCTCCAATGTTTCTATCTGCGCTTAGCTAGTGGAAGGAATAATAATCAGTTTATGTCCACTACGTGGCATTAGATTGCGCTTACCCCTTTGGCAACATCCAAATCTTTGCAGATCAGCGTTCCGCCAAAAACAAACTTCATCACCGGGTCGAAGTATCGGTCGTATTCAATCAGCGACAAGGCAGATTCCACATTGTCTGCGCCGTACTGCAAGCAAATTGCATGATTAGTTAAAATGTGTGATCAATTAATTAAGAACACAGTCCACTAAATATTTAGTGCTCATTCCTAAGTAAGAAAGTAAATAATACAATACAAAAGTACGATATGTAAGGCTGGATATCTAATACAATAAATTATATTAGGATTTTCTTACGGTAGACTTGGCGTAGTCGACAACTTTTTGGCTCAGAGGGTAGGATTTGATCTTGTTGATGGGTATCATTGTGACACGTCGCTGCAAATTTCCTTTCTGAAGGATCTTCTTGCTCGTCACATCATCGTCTGTTACAAAGCTATACAACTGCAAATATAGTTTAGCATAGAAGTATTGGGCCAATTTCTAAAAATATGTCATTGGGCGCTTACGTGACCGCCAGCTGCCATCATGAGGGCCATGGAGTTTTGCATATCAGACACCTTGAACAGCTTTCCCACCATTCCGCGCACCTTGTGCCGCTCAAAATTCGGCTCCGGATCATGGTACTGAAGCTCAAAGCGGGACCCGCTGCGACGGTCAAGTTCGCGCTTATGTTCGCGCACCTGGTTGTGCAAATGTTGCCTGCGTTCCTTTAGCTGCTCGAACTGTCCGCCCTCGTAGTTGAGGCCCTGCAGCTGATGCTCCAAGTTCTTGATTTCAGCTTCGAGCTGGTCGTGCAGCCGCTTGTCCTTGATGTAGGCTGCATCGTTGGTCTGCGTCTCGCCCTGCTTTTGATTAAGCAAACTGCGCGTGTGGCGCAGTTCCATTTCCGAGGTTTTAATTGTAGTCTGTGCCTCGCTCAGTTGTTGCTTAGCAGCTGTGGGCAAAATCCAAAATTAGCCAACCAACTTATCAAACTGGATTGTTTGGCAACTTACCAATTAGCTGTTCCTGCAGTGTACAGGCTTGTCCATCCTCGTTGGTAGACAGACCCTGGGATACGGCCTCAAATTTCCGCTGTGCATCCTCATAGGCTTTAGCGTCCGTTGCATCGGCGTCTTTTAGGCTCTGGAACTCGCCCTGAACCTTTGACATGGCTTCCTGTTTCTTGAGCAGCGCGCGTTCATCGTCCAATATATTTTTACTGGCCATACGTATTTTCTTTTCATCCTGCTCAATTGTGCCCTGAGCAGCCTTTAGACTACCTGAAGCTGTTGCCTCGGCGGCACGCTTGGCAGCAAGTTCGGCCTCAAGGGACTTAAGACTGCCTCCCATTTCAGCGTCTATCTTATGTTGTATTTCTTTGACCGTAACTTCAATGCGCTCAACTTCCTCCAGGTTATTGGCGTGAGTTTCGCGGCAATTGGCAATGCGGCTCTCTATCTTTTGCTCGCTGGCCTCTACTGACTGCAGAGCGTCACGTAGTTTCAGATATCTGGCCGAAATGTGGATGTGTGTGAGGAACTCAATGTCGCGACATGTTTTCTGGTACTCCTGGTACGCGGTGCGCTCCTTACGCAGTTTGTCCAGTTTCGGCAGCACTTCCTCCTCCAGTAGGGCAGAGGTTTCCCGCACCTTGCCCTCCTTCTTTTCAATCAAAGTCTTGGTCGCGTCGCGTTTCGTCTTGTACAAGCTTGTGCCGGCCGCTTCCTCAACCATTGACAACACCTTCAAATACCAAAAGTGTGTGTAAACGAACCTTATTAATGTTTAAATGGTATTTTTACTTACCTCCTTGGGCTTCATGTTTAGCACTTGCTGAATTTTGCCCTGCATAATTAGAAAATTCGGATTGTTGACGTTCAACTGCATCGAGCAGAAAAAGTCCTGAACTTTCTTGTTCTGCACCAGCTTTCCATTGATGAGGAACTTGTTCTTGCCACCGACAACAACTTGACGAGTCACGGAGATCTCGCGACACTTTTCGTATCCTGGCGGGCACTGCTGCGCATTCGTATTGTCGAATACAATTGTGACCGTTGCCTTTGTTATGCCGGCCTGACCGTTTTTGTACACCAAATCCTGCAGCGCAGACGCACGCACCTGTAACACAGAAACATTGTAAATTAAACTATTCATTCATAGCTATAACTGACTTACATTTTGCAAATTACTGATGCCAAGCACAAAACATATCGAGTCTAGAATGTTTGATTTGCCCGAACCGTTTAGACCAGTGATGGCCGTAAACTCTCGATCGAATCCTTCGATTTCAGTGCGCCTTCCATAGGATTTGAATCCATCCAGCACCAACTTTTTTACATACATTTTGCAGATTCTATAATATAAGTTGGCTTTTTTCTAATTCTCTGATTCACATACAAAATTAAAGGGCGCTTGTGCCGCCGTTTTTTCTGAATTGCGATGCCGACGCTAGAGATTACAAATGCACAAATGCTATCGATATAATATGTACGATTTGTAGTTACTAACGAGTTATCGATAATATTCTGAGTTTTATTTCGATTAACGTTCATATTGCGGCAAGTCTTCGCTTTGATCACAAAACATAATTTTCTTAAGTTAAATGTAGTTTTTTCCCAGGAATCCATTTCCGGTTAAGAAACGCATCTTCATTGTGTAATTTGTCAAAAAATATAAATTAAAAGCTGCCGATTAACCGGTGGCAGCACGATTTTCGAGTGCTGTGCAGCAACGATACTGCTTGACGACAAGTTTTCGATAGTTTTGAACTATCGCCAACGCTTTGAGATGTGCAAGTGAAGAATCATTAGAAATATCGAATTTTCGATTTGACGTGGTTATTGTGAATGACTGAAATTGAACCAAATTTAATTCGGATGCTATGCGAGACTTCAATGCAACTTACCGAAGTGATGGTTAAATTTTTGATCTACGCATTTAACAGAGATCATCGAGTTCGTCTTCATACTGTAAGTATTTTCTTTAAAATAAGTATTATTATTATTAATAAGTAATACCTTTACCTCGTCATATTTGCAGTTTAGCTTGATGCTTGCGCTGCCCAAATAGGGATTGTAAAGCCTTGCAATGGCTGCAAAGGCATGGTGAAATCTCTCCGTGTGATTGGGATAATGCGACTTAAAGAAGTATGTTGCCAGATATCCCGTTGAGTTTTTTTTTGAGAGCCCATCATTCGAATCCCTGCTTGCTTTTGTAATTGGGTCCACAAAGCTCATGGAATGATAAACAGCCAGGTGCTCAAATGCTTCATCGCTGAGACAACGGTATGAAGACCAACAGTCGGATATGATTGTGGTGCCATCCTCGATCTTCTCTTTTATTATGTGAAGTAGTGTGTTTTTAGTGCGCTTTTCGGCAGGGGCAATGTATATCCTTTTGGTATCCCTTTCGTAGATACTAAAAACCCATTGGCCTTGGATAATCCGTCCGCAGTTATTTTTTCTTTTAGATACAAGGCTTTCGTCAATTCTTACCGTCTTGCCCGCGCCACCAAGCTTTCCAATATTCAACTGCGCAGCCCAATCCTGGAATACTTCGCGCAAATAGCTGCGCCAATTCACAATTGTTTCATATGTCAGTGCGAGCTCAGTTTTTAAAAATGATGTAATGGGCTCAACTCCTATAAGCTCGTAATAAACAATAAGGCAAATGGTCCGGATACTTAGACGCGATTCCGCGAAAAATGTGTTTGCCCGCACACTTTCTAAAAAATTACACTTTTTTGTGATTTTTTTTTTGTTTTTTTCAAAAGTGTGCGTCAACCTGCAGCGAAAATAAAAGTCGCCTTTCAATGGGACACACTTGCAGGGCTCGCCACAGCCAGGACAGTTTCTGCCTTTTAAAATAAGTCCGTGGTCTTTCAACCAGGACATTAATCTTTCTTCATCATGTATTATTGTGATAAATGCATGTGCAGATATTTTACATTCGTTGCATTTATCCATTTTTTATTAAATAAATTGATTTTTCAGCTCGCGAATACATTTAGATTAGAGAAACTTTGTTATTTTGCCGCGAATATTGTTTGTTTAAATTTATGTGAGTTCTTCTTCTTACGTTTGCCATTCACTGTTGCCAAAGTGATCAGCTGACAGCGCTGCCAGCCCGCGAAACTATGTTATTTTGTCTCGAATTTTGTTTTTTTAAATGCATGCGTGCTGCTTCTTCCATTAGCTGTTCACAGTTAACGAGGCGATCAGCTGACAGCGCTGCCAACCCGCGGCACTGATTTAGATAAACTAAATATGCCGAAGAATTTGAAATACTATAGTATTATTAACCAGTTGGCAGCTTTATGGTCGATGGTTTTGGCGAATTTTTAAAATCAATTTCACGAACTAAATGGAAATGAAATGAAAATCGTAAAATAAAGAATTTGAAATACTTCCTAACGCCTAAAAAAGAAAAATTCCTGATGAACATTGGGTTGATAAATCCATAAGGATCCAAAACTATTAGATACACAAATACGTTTGATTATTTTGAATGAATTATCATAAACATTTTTCAATTATTTAGCTTAATTCTTAATTATTTATATTTACCCACATTTGTCTGTAATTAAAATGATACCGTAAAGTAACTGACTTTTCAGTTTTACTAACTTTTCTATTTGATCTTTAGCTTGGTTTGCTCCTATTTTGTTTTATCAACCCTATGAACATGTTTTTATTTACTAAATTCCCAAATAACTATTCGTTTGTGGCACATAAAGTTAATTATTCCGTTTATTCACATGCTTCTCGAATTGAAGAGAAAACGCGCAAATATTTTCAAGTTGTACAAAATATCTAATCCAAATTGAAAATAAGCAGAAAGCTTAACGGTACGACTTCTGGTAACGAGCACGGGCACCGGGACCACCGAACTTCTTGGGCTCGCAACGACGTGGATCGCCAACCAGCAGGGTTCTGTCGTACTGGACCAGAATGTCTTTGATCTCCTTTTTGGAGGCCTCATCGACGTCTGAAATGTATATAGAGAAGGGATACAACACAATTAGTGGGTTGATTTTTAACATAAATGCAAAACAGATTCATCTACTGGGATTGTCGATGTAGCCTCAAATAGCAATGGCAACTTTTATTGCACAAACCGCTCGCTTTGATTGCCACATGCACTTGCTATCCCTTGCACTTGTCTTTCACTGGACATGGTAGATGGTTCCAGCGAAAATCTGGTAGAAGGTGCTGCTAATAAGTATATCTAATGTTCTTGCCGCATCACCCAATCTGTGCTTGTAAAGCGCATCCAGCTTGGTTGGTATATGCTCATAATGGTGGTTTTTCTCGCCCTCATTGAATTATTTGCATGAAAGACACAATTCTCTTAAGCAAAAACCTATTGAGGGGCATACACATTCCTACTTCCAGTCCCATAAATGCAAAACAGATTCATCTACTGGGATTGTCGATGTAGCCTCAAATAGCAATGGCAACTTTTATTGCACAAACCGCTCGCTTTGATTGCCACATGCACTTGCTATCCCTTGCACTTGTCTTTCACTGGACATGGTAGATGGTTCCAACGAAAATCTGGTAGAAGGTGCTCCTAATAAGTATACCTAATGTTTTTGCCGCATCACCCAATCTGTGCTTGTAAAGCGCATCCAGCTTGGTTGGTATATGCTCATAATGGTGGTTTTTCTAGCCCTCATTGAATTATTTGCATGAAAGACGCAATTCTTTTAAGCAAAAACCTATTGAGGGCATACACATTCCTACTCCCAGCAGTTTGGCATACTCACATTTCTGGTAGAAGGCAACTAGGGCCTTGGAAATTGCCTGGCGGATGGCGTAGATCTGGGCGACATGACCACCACCGCTGACGCGCACGCGGATGTCAACACCGGCGAACTTCTCCTGCAAGATAGACAATATTCGAATTATTTGGATTTGTTCAAGCTTCCAAAGACTTTAGGGATTGGCGATTAAAGCAATCAGGCAGAATAGTATTCTCATTGGTCTTCAAGTTCGGGATAATTGTTATCATCATTGCGAATCGTATCAAAATCTCACCAAGCAACCGGAACTAACCTTGCCGAGCAACAGGAGCGGCTCCTGCAGTTTGTACTGCAGCACTTTGGGCTCAATCTGGTCCAGAGGGCGTCCGTTCACCTTGAGGAGGCCGCTGCCACGCTTGCAGTAAGCGACAGCAGTGGCGGTTTTCTGCAACAGAATGCCACAATTTGTTAATTTCTCAATTTACTTATTTTGCAATAATCATCACACACAAACATAACCTCAGCAACGTCGCGCGGACGAGCGTCGGCTTCTGTTGGTCGCTGCTTTTGGCACACGTGCAATGAATTTAATGTTTTAAATTGACATTTTTACACACACCTTGCGTCCGAAGACTTGAACGGCCTGCACGGGTTCTCTGCGCTAAAAAAAGTAAATGATTGCAACATTTTTGTCGTTAGTTGAGGACATTTCGCACAATTTTCACAACCACAAATACCTTTTGCTGCATTTTGCTCCGCGAGTTGGGTAGAAAAGAGCGGAAGTGCGGAATTCGACACTGAACTGAAATTTTTAGTTCAGATTACGACATCTAGAGGGCGTTTCTTACTTGTGCAACACTGTCAAACGGAGACAGCTCTAAGCTAAATTAATTTATTACCGATATTTTTTAAATTTCGACAAGGTTAACATTACAGAATCGATCTCTTCGTGCATTTCAAATTGATTTTATAAATAAAAAGAAGTCGATATGATGATTCTAACACCATTATTCGCTGATTAAGCAATACTATCGGGCTTATCGGTTCAAACTTTAACGATATGCAATACCCATCGATATTTCTCCAGATTTAAATTACTGCTGACCCATTTAAATTCAATGTGTTAGTTACTAGCAAATTCTCTTACCAACATTGCGTTACTTTAATACTGCCTTTAAGCTTATGTTTTGATTCAAAACATTATCAGCAGAATTATTATAAGATGTTTAACTTATCTCTGTAAACAAAGTGTTAAGTGAATGTTAACTAACAGCTGAACAAAATAACATCTCTGTTTTGGCATTTCGCTCTTCCTCTTCACTACGGAAAGTACATACACACGTACTTTGTTCTTTTTTTTTTCATTTAAAGTGTTGAATTTGCACAAATAAGAAACATTTGTTAGACCTTTAAAAATGGTCGTCTGCACAATGCAGAGCTTTACGACAGATCAACAATTAAATGGCTGCAGCGCGATGAAGTCCGCGCAGACCTCGCAAGTGCCCGAGCCCGAAATGGTCGATAATGGAAATGGCGCCGAGGAAGACCGCGAGGAGGGCGAAATCGTCGATGAGTTCGAAATGATCATATCTTCGGAGGATGAGGAGTTCAAATTACGTGCCCGCATACAGCAGCTGGAGGACAAGAGCAAGGATATCGAAAAAATGGACATGCTCTCGGCCAACCTAGCCAATCAATACAGTAAGCACTCTCCAATATTGAACTCAAAGTGAAGCAACACGTTCTATTGCTGTGTGTGTGTGTGTGTGTGTAATGTGACCTTGTCTAATGAACAGCAAGTGAAGTGTTCTGTATGTTGTGGAAGTTTTAGTGGAATCATAAGTGTATATTATGTGCAGACATCTATGCGGATGTGAACAAGGAGAAGACTTCGTCTTCCTTATCTTGCATTGCTAGCAAATTGGTAATGGGTAATATCATTGTGCTGATAAGCTCTTCTGCACTCGTTTCAGGTTATCAAAGGCCGCAGGGAATAGAGAGATTGGCGCCATATCAGTACTTTTCGCCAACCAGTGTACTCTCGGATGTGTCCAGCCTGTCGGAGGAGGAGTATGACCCGCCAAAGAAATATCGCAAGCATAGGATGAAAAGAACTGACAACCGAAGACATGGACCGATGTATAGGCGCAATCCCTTCGCGAATCGCGCACACGCTCAGCAGGCACATGTTCGCAAAAAGCGACGTCATGAGCACCACAGCAATCACCATCACCATCAACAGGCTACCATTTTGCTGGATTCGCTGGACAGCGTAACGGACGATGAAGTCTGCGAGTACGATATGAATGTGGAGAACGAAAACGATGAGGAGCTGAAGCTGAGCCGTAACAAACTGCGCATGGCGCTGGCACGTGATAGCAACTACGATAGCAAGCCCAAGCACAGTCTCAGGGAGCGGCTTCAGTACCGCATGCGCAAGTCACCCAGTCCAGGTCGAAATCAAGCAGATAATCCGAATAAAACGCAGGATCAGCTGCCGCCGCACTCATTTGAGGGCTACAGTCAGCACCGCAACGTGAGGGAAGAGGATGCGGAACAGCAACAACAGCAGCAGCAGCAGCTGGGGCAGGCTGAAGATCTACCGGAGCTAAAGCTGCGTCTCATTGCCCTTAAATCGGCAATATTAAAAAAGCATATAGCGCGTAAGAAGCGAGACGCGGAGCGTGCCTATTCTCCGACAGATATGATAAGCCGGGTGCATCAGCCAACGGTTAGCAATGAGTGCGACGATATCGATGACCTCATGGAGATTAGTCCAGCTGCATCGCCGGAGCGCACTGCGTACAGTCCGCCGCCGACGCGTATCGAGGAGCCCGTCGACATGGAACTGGCGCAGACTGACAGTGACGAGGACATACAAAATTGGCCACATCACTGGCAGTCGACGGTTAACAGCGGCGGCAGCTGGCGCTGCTTTATGCCCAACTCCCTGCCGCCTGTTTCGATGCCCATCGTAATTGACGACGACGAGGAGGAGCTGCAGCAAGATCAGCGTAAGGAGGAGGTCTTAGACGGCGATGATGACGAGGTTCCGCCGCCGCCGCCTTCATTTCACATTCCACACGTGCAGCTGGATGATGATGATGCCAGGGACGCGCTGCACTTAAGTGAGCGGCACTCGCAAGAAGGCTCCCTCAGCGACATTCAGTCCATTTCTATGGATAACTCCCAAACGCAGACACAGACCTCGCGCCCCTTCCA